TTACCACTGAAGGGGATTAGTTCAATGATTGGGTTAAGACTCTTATAACCCAATTATATCTCCTCTGAATCTTCTGGCATTGTCTATATGTGACCTTTGGGGGACACCTCACATCCAAACCATAACATGTATTCTGCCCTCCTTTGCAAGTTTATATATATGTAGCAGTTAAAATGAAACACTAGTTAGAGTAAAAACTCCAAAATGTCTCTATCAGATAAAGAAATCCTCCGTTTTTGTTTTATTCCTAAACCTAATTGTTTTAGTACTATGTAATTTATCAATTTGCCTGATATACATGGATCATCTATTAAACAGCAGCCATAATTTTCATCTCTTATTCTAGTTGAAATAGAAAACAAAACAAGAAAATACTGCCCATGTGCAGTTTGTTATGTTGTAGTGGGAGGAGGTTGGAAACAAGAAAGGTACATAATAAGCAAATAAACTTATAGTATCAGGTGACTAATGATAAAAAACAAATACAGAACTACAGAAAGGTGGGTCAAGGAAGGTGTTAGGGAGTAGGCTGCAATTTCCAGTGGGCTGAGTTTAGGTTTAATTGAGAAAGTAATAAACATCTGAGAGAAGACTTAAAAGTGGTTGGCATTGTAGACTGAGGCAAAAAGCCAGTTTCTAAGTTAGTAGCTTGTCTGATGTGTTGGAAGAATGGGGGAGGTTAGAATGGATAGGGCAGACCATGGGGAGAAGTAGTGGAGGAGGTCAGAGAGTAATAGGAGATAAGTTGGTGCAGGGTCAGATTAAGTTAATGGATAAGGACATTTGCTCTTATTCTGAATGAAATGAAATGAAGAACACTGCATTTTTGAGAGAAGTGATGTTAGAAGGCACCAAGTTAGGATGCATTTGAAATTCATCACAGTCTTATTGCAGGAGGTATCTTTCTGACACTTGAGGATAAGAAAGAATTTGCCAAGTGAAAAGGATTTAGAGGTGCTTTGGCAAGCTTTAAGAATATTTCCAAGGAACTGAACAGACACTTCATAGAAGAAGAAATACAATTGATCAACAAATATATGAAAAAGTATTCAACATTTCTAGCAATTAGAGAAATGCAAATCAAAACTACTTTAATATTTCATCTCACACCTGTCAGAATGGCAATTATCAAGAATATAGGCAACAATAAATGTTGGTGAGGGTGTGGTCAAAAGGGTATACTCGCACATTGCTGGTGGGACTGCAAATTGGTGCAACCAGTATGGAAAGCAGTATGGAAATTCCTCAGAAAACTGGGAATGGAACCACCATTTTACCCAGCTATCCCACACTTGGTTTATACCCAAAGGACTTAAGATCGGCATACTATAGTAACATAGCCACATGAATGTTCATAGCAGCTCAATTCACAATAGCTAGATTATTGAACCAACCTAGGTGTCCCTCAATGGTTGAATTGATAAGGAAAATGTGGTGTATATACTCAATGGAAGATTGCTCAGCCTTAAAGAAGAGTGAAATTATGGCATTTGCCAATAAATGGTTGGGAGTTGGAGAATGTTTATGCTAAGCAAAATAAGCCAATCCCACAAAACCAAAGGCCGGATGTTCTAATATGTGGATGTTAGTTCACAATAAGGTGGGGGGATACTAGGGAAGAATAGTGTTACCTTAGATTGGGTAGAGGAAAGTGATGGGAGGGGAGGGGAGAAGAGAAGATGTAGGGATTGGAAAGATACAGAATGAAACAGATATTATTACTTTATGTGTATATGTGACTACATGAACAATATGATTCTGCAACTTATACACTTTATGTATCTATTTTTATGTGGTGTTGAGGATTGAGTCTAGCACCTCACATCTGTGAGGCGAGTGTTCTACCGCTGAGTCACCACCCCAGCCTCAGTATATGTACTTCTTTTTTAATATTTATTTTTTAGTTATATGGACACAATATCTTTATTTTTATGTGGTGCTGAGGATCAAACYCAGTGCCTCACGCATGCTAGGCGAGCGCTCTACCTCTGAGCCACAACCCTAGCCCCCCCAGTATATGTACTTTTAAAGCAAAGTCATGTGCTACTCAATTTAAGTTTAAAACTGTAAATAAAGTCATGTAAAGAACTTAATTCTTTGTGTCCTCTTTAATCGTGCTCATTTTAAAAATTAACATTCTATTTCAATAAAATTTAAAGAATTTCTATAATCTGAGACTTTTTTTTACTCAAAAATCCAATTGTTACACTTTTATTAGAAAGTGAATAATCACCATTTGCTTTTGTGCCATGCAGCTATAAATTAAATTGAACTATTTTGTGTATCTTAATTAAGATTCATTTATATACTTTTTTTTGAAAGGTTCTTTACTCAGTTGTGAGAAATACAAGAGAATTTTAGTTCATTATTAAAGTAGTTAAGATCTAAGTAGGGAAGATTGACATTGGTATACATACCTTTGTAAAAATTATTTACTTATTTGGTTTGGTCAGGTCTTCCTCAAATTTAGCATTATTCAGTTGTACTTCAGGTACTGAACAATACATAACATTTCTTCTTATCTAACACCAATAGTTATAGTTTGAACCACCAACTAATTACCTTGGAACTTTTACATATTATTCTGTCTGTCTGGCATATATTTTAGTGCTGTTGCACAAGTTTGTAAAGTGGTTTAATGCAAGGACTCTGCTAGTTATAGTCTTTAGGACATGTTCATAGTGTAGCTACTAAGTAGCTCAATAGTTAACTGGTTAACTAAGCATTATGAAGGGTAGTGTACAATATAGTTTAAATTATGTTGCACTTATTTGTTTGGTATTGCAGATTGAACCCAGGAGTGCTTAGGCACTGAGCCACATGAGCCACATCCCAGCTCTTTGTGTGTGTGTGTATGTGTGTGTGTGTGTATTTTTGAGACAGGGTCTCAGTGTTGAAGCTGGTTTTGAACTAGTAATCCTCCTGCCCAAGCCTTCTACAACATAGGGATTACTGGTGTGTTCCACAGCAGCTGGTCTGTTTCACTTTTAATGGGTTTCTGGAAGGTTTTACTTGAACACTTAACTGTAAAATGATTTTTTTGAAAGGGATATTCTTTTTTCAATTGACTCCCAAAATAGAAATAGTTAATTTTACCTCAGCTCAAATATTTAGTAAAAAAGTTTAGGACAGTAGTAACATTTTCTTACGTGTAAAGGAAGTGGGTTTTTTTTTTTTAACCTAGACAATACTTTGTTAGCTCTGATTTTTAGATTATTTATATAAAATTTTAATATGCATACTAGTGCCTGATCATTGCAAAATGGTAGTTTTAATTATCTCCAGCATTTTCATACCTTCAGAATCATGCTAAATATTTTCATAAAATTTGACATTTTGAGAATTTTATAAGTTTTTAATAGAAAGAATTAAACCACATCTTGAAACATGATCAATGTTTGTATGGTATGTCATCACTTATTTTCTTACAGAACAGACAGGTGAGTGTGAGATGTCAGTAGTTCTTGGTATTTGAATAAGATGATTTGAGTTTTCTTAAGGCAGAACAATTGATGTCTGTGGTATTATGTGATTCTTACATGAAATCAGTTTGGAGTCCAAGTATTGGAGGATGTATTTTACCAATTCATTTCTGTGCAAAAGGAAAATGTGTCAGAGGCCAAACTGTGATGGAAACTTTCTAAGTCTTTGTAAATTAACTTTCTAAATCTCTGTATAACCAGCTTAACCATAAACATGCCAGTTAGCAACTGTCAAACCTTGTCTTAGACATTCCCAGTTGTTAGAATAGATTGTTATATAGAATTTATATGCTAACAGAAAGAGAAATACTCTTCAAATATAAAGTGATTGCTTTAGCTAAAGAACATTTAAGCATGATATAAGTTTATTTCTTTGAGATATTCTTGCTTTAGAATGTAATATTTAGCATCCATCTTCATCTCTCTTTACTAGGTCCCAAGATTTTTTTTTTTTTCCTCTTTTGGCTTGCAAATGCAGTGTGAGTCAAAAATGTACTGGATATGGCGGGGGCCAGGGTGCTGAGACTCTTTTTAATACACCTGAGATATTTATGTTTCATCAGCTTTTAGGGCACAATTGTTAGGTCTAAATCTAGGTTAAGTAGCATTTTGTGTATATATTTTTCTTTGGGACCAAATTCAAGTGAGAAAATATAGTGCTAAATATTCAGTGTAGGTGGTATGTCAGGCACRATACCTTCTATTAAAAGATAATCTATAGGTTGTTGATGTGGCTGCAGATCTGTCAACACATATTTATTGAGCACCTTCTTTGTCCATAAGTTAACATTATAACAAATAAGTACATTAGTAATTTAGATAAAAGAGATCATTTTGGGCTAGAGTCAACATATATAGCTTTGAGGAGGAAAATGAGCTTCATTCAGTCAGATCTTGAAAGATGGTTAGAATGAATAAATTCTAATTTATTCATTAGAATAAATGAGCCAATGTATTCCAAAAAAAGAATCATCATACAAGTGTTTAACAAGTCCCTAATTTAATTATTATTTTTTAATAATGCAAATGATTTATTTGTGTCTTGTTTCAGAGTTTTCTTAAATATTCTGTGTGGCATATTTAGAATGTTCAAATGTTGGTTGATCCAAAAAAAAAAAAATCTCTAATTTACAGTGTTAACTGCTTTTATAAGAAAAACTATATCTTGGGGATCTTTCTAAAGAAATAATATAACACTGCTTTTTGTTCTAAAAGAGCTCTAGAAAAAGTAAAGAAGTCTGGGTTTTAATCTTACCTCATACCTTAGTGTGTGACTTTGGAGAGGCCATTTAATTGTTTGCTAATTTACAAAATGAGAAGATGCCTGGCTAAACTTATTTCAGGTGAAATAATTTGTTTTTATTGACTATTTTTGAGACTCTTAATCAGGAGCCACATATATTAGAAAGCATTTTATTTTTGCAAACATGCAAATTGAAATACGTGAACTCTTAAAACTTGATAATATAAGAAAATTTAATTCTGTTTTATATTAATTTCTCTCTGTTTTCTTGGTAGCGGATACACTGTTTTCAAGGAAGCTGAATGGGAAATATAGACTTGAGCGACTTGTTCCAACTGCAGTATATCAGCACATGAAGATGCATAAACGAATTCTTGGACACTTGTCATCTGTGTACTGTGTAACTTTTGACCGTACTGGCAGACGTATATTTACTGTAAGTAATTTTTAAAATATTATTTTTACTCATATATGGTATTTAAGAAATGTTGCTTATACCAGGCGTGGTGGTGCATGCCCATAATCCCAGCAGCTTGGAAGGTTGAGATAGAAGGATTGAAGATTCAAGGCCAGCCTCAGCAACCTTAGTAAGACCCTATCTCAAAATAAAAAAATAGATAAAAAGGTATGAGAATGTGGCTCAATGGTTAAGTACTCCTAGGTTGAATTCCTGGTACTAAAAACATTAAAAAACAAAACAAAAAAACCCCAAACATTGCTTATAGGTGAATGTAAAAATAACAACTAATGGGAAACTGTAAATCCAGTTAAACTATAACTCAATGTGCAATATACAGACTTTTCTTAAATTTGGACTTCAAGTTTGGAGATTTCCTGAAAGACATGTTGTAGCAGTCACAGTTATATTATGGGCCCACATGATGAATAAATGTAGCTCTTAACATTATATCAAATATGTAGTTTGACATTTTATAAAATGTCATGCAATAATTTTAATTCTAAACGAAGGGCATTTCCCAAGTATGTTAAGCAAATTGTAGGAGATTATTAAATATACCATTTTATATTATCCATAGAAAACCATATGGTAGTCTGGGAAAATTCCCTTTAAATAGTGATAGAAAAATTTCTGAGCATATCTAATACTCTTTGCTTATGATCTTCTTATCTTTAACACCTCATTTTTAAAAAATATCTAATGTTTTTTTTAAAAGTTCTTTGGATTTGTTATTGTTTCGTTTGAATCCCCTCACTCATTCCTTGGTGCTAGAGACCCACATGCTAGGCACGTACTTTATCACTGAGCCAAACCCAGCCCTCTCTTTTAACTCGTTGAATGTACAAAAGTAAAGTTCTATAGCTTTAAGTGAGAAAATTACTTTTGAATATATTAATTTATTTTCAGATGCCTTAACTATTAAATCCATTAAAGGTAATACTTACTATTAACCACTACTGTGGTTATACTTATTATTAAACACTACCCTGTGGGCTGAAAATATGCATTCATTCATTCACAAAGTCCTTAATTGCCTTTGAAATAAGAAAATGGGAAATATAAGGTAAAATGGTAATTCCCATTTCTGTCTTTGAAGAGAGCAGCTGTAAACTTTTTAGTCATGATAATTTGCTTGTAAACTGAATATATATACCTACTTTTTCTCTTCTATCTGTACACACAGTGTGTTTCAGTAAAACAGCTAAACAACAGGATGAGGGAAAATTTTTTCACATCTTTATTGTTGACTTTAGTCCATTAGGTATTTGTAGATCACTTTCTCCATCAATATTTTCCCTATTCACTTTCACTTCCCCATTGTTCTCTGAAACAAAAGTGAAATTTTCTAAACTTTCTGACAAGTTTTTTTTTCAGAGTAGAGAGTAGGTATCTCTGTATTCTGCTTGATACAGTAATTTGTTCTCATAGTAAATGAAAATAAGTCATTCAAGTTGAATTCTTTCAAAAGCAGTAATCATGAGAAAGAAGCATTATATTGTTTCCACTTTATTTTAGTGACTATTAAAGTTATGTGACTGCAGTTATGTGCTTGTTACTATCTTATGAGTTATAAAAAATACATAACTTCTTCAGTTTTTTTTATATTTTTAGTTGTAGATGGACACAATACCTTTTATTTTATTTATTAATTTTTATGTGATGCTGAGGATTGAATCCAGTGCCTCACAGTGCAAGGCAAGTTTCTCTATTAATTACTGAGCCACAGCCGCTGTTCAACTTCTTCAGTTTTGATGTTGGTGGCATACCTTGTAGGAATTCTTTATGTTAGAGCCATGCACAGTGGTGCATGCCTGTAAAACCAGCAACTGGGGAGGCTGAGGCAGGAGCATTGGAAGTTCAAAATCAGCCTCAACAACTTAGCAAKCTCCTAAGCAACTTAGCAAGAGCCTGTCTCAAAATTGAAAATAATTTTTTAAAAGGCTGGGGATGTTGCTCAGTGGTTAACTGTATCTGGGTTCAATCCCTGGTAGAAAAATAAAAGGGATTCCAAGCATTTATCCTATTTCATGAAGCATTGTGTTTTGAGATGAATCTGATACATAATCTCCAGAATTTTGGGAAGGAAAATGCAATGAAATAATGTGCTTGTTACTATCTTATGAGTCAGTAGTAGGATGATAGGTACATAGTTGGAAGAGCAGTTTGAATCAGGGTTTAACAAACTACCCTCTGTGGGTCATTCTAGCCCATCACCTCTTACAATAAAGTTTTATTGATATATGCACACTCAGCTCATTATGTATTGAGAAGGGGGTGCTTTTGCACTACCATAGCAGAGTTAAGTAGTTGTGACAGAGACTGTATGGCATGCAAAGCCTAAACTGTTTATTATCTGGCCCTGTACAGAAATTTGCAATCCTTTTCTTGATATTTAATTCCTACTTTGAATTTGGGAAACAGGAATAATATGTGAAGAGGAAGCTGCTTTCTGGTTGCTTTCTTTAGTTGAAGGCACATAAATAAAGGGAAGAAAAATAAGTAACAAACACTGTACTTTTCTTGATACTGAGGATTGAATCCAGGAGTGCTTAACCACTGAGCCAATCCCCAGTCCTTTTAAAATATTTTATTTAGAGACAGGGTCTCACTGAATTACTTAGGGCTTCAGCTTTCTAAGCTGCTGGGATTACAGGCATTTGCCAATGTGTTTAGCCACTGTACTGTTCTATATGGTTTTACCAAGATTCTGAAAAAATTTTTTATTTTAAGAGTGTGATATTATTTTCTGATTGTGCCAAAATCATAAATCTCATTTAGAATTTTTTACTAGTAATTTGCAGTTATAGGTTCTAAAACAATACTTTAAACATTACTTAAAAACTTTCTTCCCATTTTTATAATTATCACTATAAATGGCAGTAGATTAGATATGTGCTCATTGTTTATATTTTCTCATAAAATGGAATGGATACTGGGTGTTCTCATTCAATTAGAAGCACATGAGATAGAGCTTAGTGCTCTGAAAAATCTTAAAAACTAGTAGTATAAAGCTTTAGAATAATGGATCTTGATTAATCAGTGAAAGATTCATGTGAGAGAACACTATTATTATTTATTGAAATAACAATTCAGTAATGGACTAACTAGTATTTCCTTTTGAAGTCTTTAGTACTTTAAGACTTTGCAGATTTATTTCTAAGTTACCTGTATAGATGTATTTGGAAGCGTCTTTGAAGGGATTAATTCTCTTGAGTCTTCTGAATAGTCACAACTAGAAACAGTATAATACTATGATTAAGAGCATCAGATTTGGCATTGGAGGACTCTTAGTCACTTAATTTTTAGTAGTGACACTTTGGCAGTTTACCCCTTTAATCTCTATTTTTCTCTTAGAGGGGAGTAGATAATAATAGTGCCAACTTATCAGAATTTTTGTGGATGTACATGAAATATATTATGCATATAATTAGTGCTGATTAAGATATATAGAAAGCAGTCATTAAATCTTACCTATTGCTGCTGTTAATTTTATGGATAGATTTAAGTAAATTTGGGGCTGGGGATGTGGCTCAAGCGGTAGCGCGCTCGCCTGGCATGCGTGCGGCCCGGGTTCGATCCTCAGCACCACATACAAACAAAGATGTTGTGTCCACCGAAAACTAAAAAATAAATATTAAAAATGTTTTCTCTCCTCCCTCCCTCCCTGTCTCTCTCTGTCTCTAAAAAAAAAAAAAAAAAAAAGATTTAAGTAAATTTTATTTATTTTTCACCCAATTAAGCCTTTATTTGTAGGTGCTGCATAAGGCTTAACAGGAATCATTGTAATTGATAAGTGAAATTATATATTAAAAAATTTATCATCATTTTGTGCTAATATTAAAATTATTAATATTTTAATAAAAATGAATGTTTTCCCAGAAAATAATGAGAAAAACCTAAGGAGGGAGATAACATAATTATAATCTCATACTTTACTCCCTAATTCTCTCTTAACCTTTTAAATTTTACTTAGTTTCAGAATCATTGCACCCAATTATGTTTACCAAAGACCAAAGTTAATGAATTCTTAGGACTAAGGGAATAATATAAAAGTTTGCTGAGTACAATATAAAAGGCAGAGGTTTCCCGCCCCCTTTTTTAAAAGGGATCTTTTTCCCATTTAGATTAAGGTGAAGGAGCATAAAATTTTTCCATCAAGATAATGAATTTATAGTGGACAATATGAGTTCATGTACTCTTTTAGTGAACTTAGGAGTTGTTCTTGGGCYACTAACTCTTCCAGGCATTGGAATTACAGAATTGAAAGACTTATTCTCTGTCCTTGAAGAGTTCACAAATGTTAAACAGAAAGTGTTAATATCATGTGATAAGAACCTTGATAGAAGGTACAAGATACTGTGTTTAGATCTGTAGTGTCTTGTAGAATATCTGGTGCATATGGTAGGCAAACAACAATAAAATGAATAAACATAAAGACATCTATAAGACAAGTTTTTCCCTCTGTTGTACTTCATTTACATTTACACTGTTCATCCCGTCTCTGCTCCATACTTCAAACTTGCAAAACCTGTTATTGGCTAAAGCTTTTCTGCTAGTTATTCCCTTTGCTTGGGATTATCTTCTTCAAAATATTCATCTAGCTGATTCCTTTATTAGCAGGTATAAGATTGGTAAAAAAGTCTTGCAGTGGCATGTTTTCCCACAAGATATCAATTAGTTAAAAGGAAAAATTGAAGGGGAGAAAAATGGGAGAAAGTTTGGAAATAAACTTCACTTTCTCTGATGTGGTGCACTGAGAAAAATACAATGTCTTACCTATGGCATTTGTGCAAAGACAGTATAAGCTGGATCTGGTCATGAAAAAACATTGTATAGATCCAGATTCTGGGTCTTTTATACAGACTGTAAATTCTGTATTCTTGGTGTGAGACGGGGGGTAGAGAGGATACTGGGAATTAAACCCAGAACTTCATGCATGCTAGACAAGCACTCTGTCAACTATCGAGCCCCATCCT